CTCCCAGCCTCCCTGCCTCGCTGGCCGCGCCCCCGCGGCTCGAGGGGGAAAAACTTTTGGAGCCGGTGGGCGTCGTCTGCGTCGGGTCCTCCCGATCCTCCGGCTCCACTCCGGTCCGCCCGGGCTCAGCCGGCTGTCCTGGGACTCCGCTCCTCTCGGTTCGCCCGCCCCGTCCAGCCTGCTAGCTACCTTCCCACGCCCCCGGGGCAGCGCGATGACCAGGATCCGGCGCTCCGCGTGCCTGCTGGCTCTGCTCACGCTGCTGAGCATGGGCATCCAGCCCCAGCCGGCAGCCCCCGAGGCCACCTGTCACCAAGTCCGTCCCTTCTTCCAGAGGCTGCAGCCGGGGCTCAAATGGGTGCCCGACGCCCCCTTGGCAGGTGAGGACTGGGAGTCTGCCTCCATCGCCCCCTCTCCCCTCGGGATCGAGCGTTACTAGTTGCTCGTGGATCCCTGTGACCTCACTCAGCATCCCTTTTTGACCCCACCCTGAAAATTCTCAAGGGAGGGGGGGGCTTGGGGAACGGAGGAGGGCCACCAGTCAAGGGGTGCTTCAGTCGCGGGGGTGGTTAGAGGGAGAAGAAGGAGGGGGATCAAATACTTTTGACACCCCGCCCCCACCCTTGCCTTGGGGTGGCCACGGGCATCTACATTGTCTATCCCCTGGGCTCACGTTGCTTTTCAGCTAGAGGTTGGGAGGGGAAGGCGTGGGACTTGGGCTCTGGGGAGGCAAGGTCGGCAATATTTCCCTGGCCAACCACGCCAAAGTTGGTGACACAGGAATTTGAGAGACAGACACACAGACGCTGTTTCCAGGTGTTATACTTCTAGGTAGATAAGATGAAGGGCTAATGGATGGGGCGAGCGATGGCTAGCTAGCACGCCTTCTTGGCGACCCTGTCACCCTCTCCATTTACTGGGGAGTAGGTGTCCCCGGCAGGCAAGGATGCTGAAGGACCTCAACATCCAGTTTCTCTTTTCAGGATGACACGTTGCCCCGACTCGGACAGATTTTTCAGAGTCAAAAGTAGAGACGTTAAGAACTGAAATGAGCAATTTGCTGTGCTCATCCCCTGCCACTAGGACAGTTTTGCCCGTTTCCTTTTAAAAAGGACATTTTTGCTGGCTACATCGACAAGTTTAGCTATACTACGTTTGCCCTTGGCAAGAACTGAGGCTTTTTGGGGTGGAGTGAGGTGTGGTAGAAACCTCCGACTTCCCCTTCCACGGATCTGTCATTCTCTCCGACTAGTCTTAGAGAGCTGCCTGGGGGTGAGGGTTGGGTGGGGGTGTGCCTCACCGAGAGGTTTAAATGACTTGCCTATTATCACGAGCTAGCAATAGTCAAAGGTAGAACTTAAACCCCAATATCAAGACTGGTCCCCTCTCCACTAGCCATGTTGCCTCACTGTCACAGGATGCTCTTTAAAATATACTCCTTCCAACACCTACCCTCTACCCCTCTTGACATGTACTGAGTAAGGGTGGAGGCAAGTGTTCTGAATACATATCTTTTTAGTCTCTTAAAACAGGTTCATTTTGGAGGTGATGTACAGTATCTTTGTAGATGTTGGCAGTCATGGTGATATAGCTGATGGAGAGAGAGGGGCTTGGAGCCAGAAGGAGGAAGTGGGTTCGAATCCCTCCTCTGACACATCACTCCAGGCTAATCCAAACCATTTAAGCTCTGTGTACATTAAGCATCCCTCTTGGGTTTACCTATTAGTTACACCTTTTTCCTCTCTACTTGATGGAGGGAGATCCTACACGTCAGCTTTCCACACTGCCAAAATCTCACATACCTCTAGTAACCCCTTTCCTTGGGTTGTGGAAGTCTGCTCTCAACAGATGAATGTTAACGGTGCTGAGTGCTTAACTATCTGTATTAAAAACCATGCCTTGGAATCCCAATTATGACAAATTGCTAGACTGACAATGTAAATAAGAGTTTGGAACAGGTTAATTTATCATAAATGCCCTTTTCAGTTTTCTGTTTCATCTATATGGGATCTTAGACTAACAGAGCTGGAAGGATCTTGGACTGCAATACCCTTATTTTATGCATAAGGAAACAGGCCCGGAGGGGTTAAATGTCCAAGGTCACGCAGGTGGCATATGGCAGATCTGGAATTCAAACCCTGATCTAGAACTCCAAAGCCTCTATGCATGGTACCCACAATGGCATTTAATTCTAATGAAGGTTCCAGGGCAAGTTACAGCTGTGAGTTAAACTAAATTCTGCTGGGAATATCATAAACCCTTCTGATCAGTCTGGAATGAGACTGAAGGTGGTTGTTTTTAGTCAGTCAAATTGTGAATGTGACATAGTGGAAAGAAGGCTTGGAGTCAGGAAGATTTGAATTCAAATCTTGCCTTTGTACTAGCCAGGTGACCATTACCAGCAGTGACACCCTGGGCAAGTCACTTAACCTCTATGCACCCCAGCCCCTCCCTTCTGACATCTTCTCAATTCTGGAGAATTCGGATTAATGCCCTGTAGGTGCTGCCCGAACCTTTCACTGTTGCTGTTAGGCAGATTTTCACTTTCAGTGGCAAGGTACTGCACTCAACACCTTTTTCCTGAGGCAATGGACGAGCATACTGCAGTTTCAAAGGCCAACTGGCTCCCCTTTTGGGGGGCTGAAATGAAAGCTGCATATGTATTGCATATCACAAAGCAGTATTGAGCTTTAAGAGGAAAATTCACCCCTTATTTTGGAGTGTTCACATGTTAAAGATGAAAAAGCCATATGTATATGTATAGGTTATGCCGAGCTGACAACAGCAGAATATATATTTTCTGTTCTTTTCAGCGCAGACATTGATGTTTTATTGTATGAATGTAACTTGAACAGTAGTGAAAAATCTTTTTTCCCTCTACATTGTTAATCCTATGAATGTGTTTCTTGTGAGGTCTTCCGACCAAGTGGGGAGACCAGTTGCAGGATCAATGTTTTACCTTGCCTGGGGAGTAGGGGCAAAAGGAGATGACTTCTAGAGGGTATTTAAAAAAAAAAAAAAGATCTGTAATACTGGTAAGGATACAGTCTATTTCTTTGGCAACCCCTCCTCCTCCCCCAATTAAGGCTTCCTTGCCCCTTTTGACAGCTTCATTTTAAATTTTAAAATGTTGGGGTGTGATTTGCCCTGTGATCTGGGTTCAAGTCCCAGCTCTTAATGGTTAGGTGACTTCCTCAAGAAGCCATACCTCTCTGAGCTTTAATGATTTTTTTTCCCTGTCCAATGATAAGGGACTAGATAAGCTCCTAGGTCCCTTCCAATTCTATAAGCCTATAAGTAGTTTGTTGGTACTGTAAGGGACTTCAGAAGTCATAATTTAGTGGAAAAAGCATTGGGCTCCGGAGGCATGGGCTCAAACCCTGGCTCCCCTTACCAAGTGTGGCCTTGGGCAGGTCACTTAGCCCTTAAGACCTCAGTTTTCTTCTCTGTAAAATGAGGGAATTGGACTAGATGAGTTCTGGCTCTGTTTCTGTCCCGGAATTCTATGCCCTTAAGGGTGGTCCAGCCTTCTAGGAAGTAATGAATTGTGATGGAGATTTCCTTGTAGGGCTTCATTCACCTGCAAAATTAACCTTTTCTGAGGCTTGACTGTAGGTACATTGAGAGAACCATGCATATGGAAATAGTCATTTAATTTGATGTTTAAGTTCAGAATAAAAAAAAAATACTTTTAAATAAACCTCTGTGTGAGGGAGTTACCAGGAACAGCCTGTAAATCCCATCTGACAATTATTGGAGGCAGATTGTGTTCAATGCAATTCAGTTAAGTGCCTACTGTGTACAAAGGGGCAACTAGGTGGCAGAGTGCACAGAATGCCTGGCCTGAAGTCAGGAAGGCTCCACTTCCTGAGTTCAAATCTTTCCTCAGATACTTCCTAGCTGTGTGACTCTGGGCAAGTCACTTCACCCTGTTTACCTCAGTTTCCTCATCTGTAAAATGAGCTGGAGAAAGAAATGGCAAACCACTCCAATATCTTTGCCAAGAACACCGCAAAAAGGGTCATGAAGAGTTGGATACAGCTGAAAAATGACTAAACAGTACAAAGTGGGATCAGTGGCATGAATAAAGGGCTGGCACAGGTCAGGTAGACTTGGGTTCAAGGCTTGCCACACACAGGCTGTGTGATGCTGGCCTGCGCATGTTACTTGTCAAAACCCTAGAAATTCCAGAACAGTTGCCCATCTGCATGGCATAACTAGGGAGCCCTCTTTACTGATAAAATATAAATTTAAGCCAAAACAAAACAGACAAGCAAACAAAATGTGCAAAGCAGTGTGTTTTAGGTTCTAGGGTATACAGAAACTGGGTCTCAAGGAGCTTACATTCTACTGGGGAGTGGGATTCAATGTGCATACTTATAAGATAATTTGAGGAGGGAGGCTATGCTAACAGTGTGTGTGTGCGAGTGAGATTATATGTATGTATAGATGTATACAAAAGAAGGCTCCATGAAGGAGGTGGCCTTGAAGGAAGACCACCAGGAGGCTGGGAGAGGTAGAGATGAAGAGGGAGGAGAGCATTCCAAGATGACCAAGGTGGGAGATGGAGTGAGTTCCCGGAACTCAGGTTGTGTATCATATATGGATACCTGTTGTATTTTGCCCCTTCTCCCCACCTCAGAGTCTAGTAAGAGAAGGCTGGCAAAGTAGTAGACACTAGATTGGGAAGGCTTAATTTCAAGCTCAAGCATTTGTATTTTATCTTAGAGAATGGGGATCCACTGAATATTTTCAAGCACAGGAATGACATGGTAAGACTTGTCAGGCCTTAGGATCCATATAGAAAATACGGAGAAAAGCATAATGTATGGCCATGTATTGAGAGAGTTAATCAGTATTTCAAAGTAGAAATGGTAATGGCAGACTAAATACGTGGCAAGTGTGTAATTTCAACGTGAATAAATGTGTAATTTGCTACTGTCATTCAGCTGTTGGAAATTGAAAGAGAGCTGCAAATTATTTGATAGTTGTGAACCATCATGATGATCGCTTGACTTATTTTATTCCATATTTTAAGCCATGTTCAGTTTGCTTGCTCTACTGTATTAACTGTGCTAAAGCTTTCTCTGTCCCAGAAAAAAAAAATGAGGTTCAGCTGGGATAAAGAGGAACACTGGAAAAAGTGAGTTTCTTGTCTCAGTTATGGCGAATGAATGCTCTATGTTGGCTTCTAACTTTGGCCATTGGCAGAATTGGGTTAGAGTTGATGGAGAAGGTGCATCTCTTATGCTAATAGTGATGAGAGGAAATGGTATTTGAAATCAGCCAGCATCAAAAATAAATCACAGGGGCCAAAGGACTACCCTAAATTCCCACAAAGCTGATCTAAATCCCTCCGATCTTCTATTCCCATTTCTTT